TCTGTCCTTCTCCCCCCCCCCCCCCCCTTCCCTTTTCCTGTCTTTCTCGTAGGGTCCAGTTTTGCGTTCGTTTTTTACGGCGAGGCGGGACATGCAATCCACTTCCCGAACTATAAATTCTGACCCGTATTTTCTTCTTTTTTCTTCAAGGATCACTCGGCCAGAGGAAGCTCCGTTGCAGACAATTGCGTCAGTTGTTAGAAATGTTTGCGAGATCAGCAAACATTTGGAATATTCACATGCCGACGGTATGGATTCGGCAAATAGGAATTACGCTCAACGAATTGAGGAGTGAGAATTTGGAAGAGGAATTCTCCTCTCGAATCACGGCCGAATCTTCCGAGCGATCGACGAGGGGCCGTTTATATATCTCGGCCGTTATCGGGAGCCGCACGCGCTCCTCTTTATCGCGCGTTCTATCTGCCTCGCGAATCTCTCCCTTAATTATTGCGTCGCGACGGGGCACGTCGCCGGCACAATGCGCGCGGACACGTGTGGCCGTGCGCCGCTCTTTCATTCCCTCTCGCTTATTGTCCATTAAAACAAAAAACAGAGTCCGCGGGTCGTCCTGCGAAAACAACGCGCGCGCCACGCGGAATCCAAATGAATCGCTTCCGAATCCGTTTCGTACCTCTAACGAGGAGACACGAGAGAGAGAGAGAGAGAGAGAGAGAGAGAGAGAGAGAGAGAGAGAGAGAGAGAGAGGCTGCAAGCACTCAAAAGAAAGTGGAAGAGTCCCCACTTCCAAGGCGTGCTAGGTTTGTTGAAGAAAATAATGAGAATTTTCCAAAAATCTGTCTTAAATTGTATCAAGTTCATACTTTTAAGACTCAGATATTTTCCAAAAATATTGCAGCTGTGTGATAAAACCACTGATGAGACACCGGCAAGGAAGAGGTGTAGATAATTGAGACTCCTCTGAGAAAAAAAGGAACAAAAATGCGGCAAAGGCTACGGAGAGGATTTTAGGACTTTTCGTTCATCCTTTGCAAGAGAGTTGCGGAGATTTACGAGCCATTATACACCGAATAACTGGCGCGGGGTATCGAAGCATCTGGCTTAGCGGCGTTTGATGGATTTTGAGAGAGGACTAATTGCCGCCGGTGGGGCGTACCAACTAACAGGCGCAGCTTTTACTCCTCTCGACGATTACGACTCGACAAAATGACAGGGCTAGGAAACTCTGACGTTTATCTTGTCTCTCTGATACTCGGCGATATTTCTGCAGGTATACAGTTATTATTCAAGTTTTTAATTATAAGGCGTCAAGAAGAAGTGAGTCTTTCGTGTTGTTAAGCTCGAGGAAGCTAAATAAACATCAGAATTACATTGAAAGAAATGTATGTAATATTTATGACTGTAACTGCGTAGTTAAATAGTGATTCTGATCTCTGAATCTCTTCTCGCATATTGCAGATTGTGAATAAAATTATGGGCAGAATTATAGGTTCTCTAAAGTGGATTTTACGAAAATCATTCTTATAGTAAAGTTAGTGACTGTAATTTTTACATGTATATTGTGCTATTATTACTTTTTAAACGAGTATAGTTGACACCGAAAATGATTCTAAGTTTAGAGAGATTAATCATTCTTCTTCCTTAGTGTACGTTCGTCAAGAGGACAATAATCTTGTGGAAATTATGATTAGGAACAGTGTATCGGACAATGAGAAACAACATGCGATACGAAGCGGCATTCCCCGTAAAGATGAGCGCGCGCATTTTGCAAAATGGCGTCACGACGCTATCGATCGCGATGGCGAAGCTGAGGCGTCGGCCGCGACGCCCGCGTATCAAATTGCCGGTGATGTACTTCGACCAGAGCCCGAGTGCAATAGTATTATATTTTGCAAAAAATTCCAAGGATAATCTTTGTCAAATTCCGATCGAGTCAATTGCCGATCAACTTAGCCGGTAAGAATGCTCCAACAAAAAAAATGAAACGGAATTTCTCGCTAAACCAAGAAAATCTCATTCTCTTTCTTTAGTCTACATTTTATATTACAATCAGTCAAGTATCATCTGCGCTACTTTACTAACTTGTTTTCACAAAATTATTAACTCCAGGTCTGCTCTTTTTGGTTCAACTATCTGAATTGGTGTAATAAATTAGAGTGAAACAAATATATTTTGTTTCACTGTAACTTATTGCACCAATTCAAGCGGTTCAGATAAAAAAAACATCTCTAGTCATTACTGCTGAATGACAAATTACGCGAAGCTAGATCGTTACTTGCAATCCTACCATCGATCAGACGATGGATTAATTATTTGTTCAATTGAAGTCTTCATTCCAAGACTCGTATTAACAGTTGTCGCTTGAGACAACTTTCGAGTAATGACTTTTGATACGGGCCGAGGAGTCGTATTAATTATTAAGTCGTTACTTGAGACTTAGCTTAGGCGAGATATTCAGAGTGAGAGTTAGATGTGAGTCTTTCAGTTAAATCGCGATTGCAAAGGCAACGTCGCATATATCGAATGATTCAAGTAAAAAAACCCAGACCTAACTCTAAATCGTTACTCGAGTATCTCACTTGGAACAAATTTCAAGTAATGACTGTTAGTATTAATCCAAGTTTTTCGATTCATTGCTTTCGAGTCATTGCTTTCACGCCCGATTCTTCGCGACGATTCAAGATATCGCTTTCCATCGTCGGACAGCAAAGATTTATAAAAAACGTCGAAGTAAAATAAGGTGTCTTTAAGACATCTCTTAGAAGTTTGTACCGCCTGGGTTTCTAGAATTCGACGCGCTCCAATAGCACAGTGCCGCTCGGTGAGCGTAGAACACATAGATAAATCAAGTCGACTTCGATCATCGTTACGACGAAAACGGACTCCCGCGTATAGACCCCGGTCCCGGAGACCGGATGTCGGTGTCATTTTGGCGCCATTGTCCGACAAGGGTCGGCCGGTGGATACTAAATTGCAGACGCGCGCGTGGAAGGTAAACGTTGTTAAGGGTCTGGTCCGTGAACGGTCTCTAATTTGCCGGTACGAGACGACCTAATTGCGATCGTGTGTCCAAGTGGCGTTTCGAGATTCGAGTTTTCGTTACTGAGATTCCTCTCGTGCGAGTCGGTGAATTCAAAGCTCACTCTACAATGTATTCTTTACTTCCTATTTCTTTATTCTAGCTTAAGGCTTAAGTCAGGAAGAGATAAAAAGGAAGAGGCGGCCAAGAACACATCGTAGATTAAGCTTCACGAGGCTTCGCGTGATTTGTGCAAATTTTACACCGTGATCTTCGATAATTTTTGTCCTTATAGATTATGATATATTCGCAAGGATTATAATATTCTCTTTCTCTGAACAGAGGACAACGTCGACTCACCTTGCCGTGCTCTTTGTCGAAGTCGCAGTCGCAAGGGTCGACGGGATAGTTGCCAGACGCACCACCGAAGACAAGCTGAAGATTAGTACCCGTTGCCGCAAATGCAATCTCTGTGTGACCCTCTCGACAGCCATTTTGAAATCGCACTTGTCGCTCTTCCATCGGCCGGTCTCTGTAGCCCGTATATCTCACCTTCAACACAGAAGACGAAAGAAAACGATATTTAGGTGAACATGCGTCGATTTGATGACCGAGTCAATCGCACAGATCGACCGCTGCTTCCTCTCAAACTGCCTAACTTTGAAGCTCAGGTATGTTTATCTCGGTTTACCCGCGCGACTTGTTAGAACGGAATCTTCTAGATCTTCCATTGTTCCAGATCACCGGGCTCGCACAATTAACAAACGGAGCGAACGCGAAGTATCAATCCGTCGAGCTCTACAACGCTCGTCACGATCCGAAGGCTAGACTGTTAATTCGTGGAAAAGACGGCATTCCTGCGGCATGATTTCGCGTGTTCCACGTGACTCCACAGGCGTAACGACTCTCGGAATCCCTCATCATCGAAATTTCTCGCCGCGTCACGTAAGTCGAAGGAGATCCCCAATTCGCGTTGTCTCTGACGAGATTATAGAAAGCACTCTTTCGCACCCTTTTCGCATATTTCCTTCTTAGATTTTGTTCGGAGTTTTTTTCGAAAGTCCTTCGAGGAATTCTATTCGAACTTTCACCTTTCTTGGTAAACGGTCGGTGGACAAACTCACCTCGCTCTCACGGCTCAGTCTCCTGAAGAGCTCGTCGCTTTCGAACTTCGCCTTTTGGTCCGGCACGACGCGTGGCATTTTGAAGACTAATCGTGGTGGCCGGGGTTGCTCGTATAGACCCATGCCATCGAACGGCAACACGCCAACTCCAGCGTGCTCGCTCATTGCGTGCATCATTTTCGCTACAGGTGTGCCGGCAACGATCAGCGATAACAATTACGACGTTAAAGACGTCTTGCTCCTCGTACTTCTCCACCACCGTCTCCTCCTCCTCCTCCTCCTCCTCCTCCTCCTCCTCCTCCTCCTCGTGGATG